TTAACCTATTTTATGGTTTCTTCATAGTACTTAAACACTATCTGACCTATATTTAGTCATTTATTTTTGTCATTTCACTATAATGAAGCTCCTGACAGCAGCGATTTGATTTAAATTACTGCTATATTCCTAGCACTTGGTATATAGTAGGTGCTTGATAAATGTTTGACTCTTTACTAAGCACTCGATAAATGTTAATTGTGTAAACAAATGAATGAACAAATGAATGAATTCTTCAAATTTCAGTTCATATGTCATCTCTGCCTTCTCAACTACCAGTCCCTTCCCTACCAGAAAATTGAGACTCTTTACCCTGTATTCCCATTATAACTTGTATACTCCTCCATAATAGCTAATCCACAGTGACTGTTGTTATTATTATCTTTCTTTTTTTTAAGGATTCATCTAGAGATATTAGAGAGGCTCTTCATGAACTCTTATGCTGTACTAATGTTTCAACCAAAGAAGGGATTCATCTTGCACTGGTGGAGCTGCTGAAAAATTTAGCCAAGTACCCTACTGATAGGGACTCCATATGGAAGTAAGGATTTTTTGCTCATTTGCTCACTGAGTCCAATAATGTGGTAAATGTAAAATGTTGACATTATTCGGTGGATCATCGTAGATTGAGGATATGGCTCTCATTTTGCCTTCAATTAAGAAACCTGGTTCAACTTAACTAAACTCTCAGGAGTCTGATTCCTAAATGGAATATCACAGTTTAGATTATTTATTTATTTGTCCATTCATCCACCTAGCAAATTTTATATGCCTGCTTTGTGCTTACTATGTACCAAGCCCTGTGGTAAGTTTTGGAGGTACAGAGATGAGCTGATTAGATTTCCTTTTTCTCCTATATAGTGTTAATCAGTGCTTTGTGTAGTTTGCATTTTGTGCAGGATCACAGCTATCGTTATAGAGATTAGAGGTAGGGCTGGAGCTTTGGTCTGCAGATGGAAAATCTCAATTATTTTTTCCCAGTTATCTAGCTTTATTGACTATAGTCAAACTGTTACCATTGTTCATTTGCTGTTTGAAGAACTACTTGCATATATTTAATATAAAAATGTGTGTTATCGTGCTCCATATATTTAAATGAGCTTATGTGACAAGATTGTTCCAACTGTATAGTTTCTTGATTTTCAGAAAAATTTGCTACTAAGAGTAGAAAAACTGTGGATCAAATCAGGTACTTGGAAGATATATTAAAAACTAAAAATACCATAGTAGTCTTGCTCTAGGTAAAATTTTTGATATCTGGTTGTCTGTTTTGTTATTTCTTCATGTTTGTTCAGTCCAGTTCAGTTCAAGATACATTTATTGACTGTTTTCAAGGAGCACTCATTCATTTGGTGTGTGTAGGTTGATTTGGGAAAAACACCTATTTTAGTCTGTAGTTTTGTGGTGTCATAGTGTAGAAGAAATGATAAATTCTGCTTGATAGAAGAGATGTTATAGAATGTTTAGCAGAACATTCTTGCTTTAAGATAAGGTTTGTGGTTATTTGGTCCACTCAGAATATTTATGTAAAACTGTCTTTATTGGATGATTGTAGACAGAAAACTCCTTTACCTTATAGTGAAAGATTTTGAAGTGACCTATTCTAATTATTACTTGATTTTTTTTCATCTCTTCTCATGAATGGTGCTTTATTTAGAAATATCAAAAAAGAATGTGATATAAGAGTGAAGGAATAGTCACAGTGGCATGTTTTTAAGACATTGCTAAAGATAGATACATAAATGAAAGTTTTGAAGGAGGTTGTTCTCTATTTAGCTTTAGTTTATTCAACAAACGCTATTGAACACTTGTTACAACCCAGTCATGGTGTTAGGTGCTGAGGAGATTTAAAAATGGATTCAACTCAGAGATGTAGTACTCAAATAGCTGTAGGTAGGGAGGTGGATAAGATAGTAAAAAATTATTACAACTCTCAGAATTGAAGTCTAGCTTTAGAGAAGCCCAGATGCTTAGGGGTCTTTGAGGGGACCTAATTAATAGCTCTTGTATTCTCCATCTGAGATCTGAGTAGAATGAGATAAAATAAAGAAGTGGCACCTGGAGGCCAAACTACAACTTTTAGAATATCCCCTGAGGCACAGTGAGTAAAAGGGCTGAGAGAGGTCAGAAAATTAATGAATTTAGTTCTTCCTACACAGAAGGAAAAACAAGACTGAGGAAAAGTGTGTTTTTCCTAACAGTATCGAATGTTTTTAATTTGATGCCTTTCATACCCCATATATCCATGAATTTGTTCACAGTGTTTGTTTTCTTTCTTTTGCCAGTCTGTCTATTCTCTAGTCCCTGGTGAAGTCCTATTTCCTTTGTGAAACTTTCTGATCTTGTAATCTTTTCTACCTTTAACAGATAGAAAGCAAAATATCATTTGATAGTTTATTACCTTGTGTTAGTCATCTTTGTCTCAGTTGGATTATAAACTCATTGAGAACAGAAATTAAGATTTATATTTCTTTTCGCTTTGACACACCCTCGAAACCAGAACTTAACAAATAAAAAATAATATTCATAATTAGCAGTGCAGCATAGTTCTTTATAGTTAATAAAGGATATTCATATAGTCATAATAGTTAACCGATAGCCAATTAATAGCTAACTGTAGCCAGCTGAGATTTTACTGTATGACTTACACCTAAGAAGCTGTCCAGCAGACTTCCTCTCTTGCTCCATTGACCACAATGAGATTACTTGATTTACTTGCAAATCAGTCACTGGAAATGGGAATGAGATTGCCATAATGGGTTTAGACCAATTGTGGTTAAGCCCTTGGGCTGGACCTGCCTTCTCTGAGCACTTTGCTATCTACTTGATACCTGAGTGAAATCAAAGTTCTCTTTGATGCAGGATGGGACAAATTCCCCTGAGTGACCCTGCACCAAAAGAAACAGTACTCGACTGAGTGCAGGAAAGAATTCAAGGACATGCCAGAATTAGAGTCAAAAGAAAAGTTTATTAGAAAGGGGGCAACACTCCATAGACAGAGCGTGGTGTCCTCTCAGAGACAGAGTAAGAGAGCCTGAGAGAGAGGAACAGAGAAAAAGACACTGAGAAGGAACTCTGAGTGTTCGAGGAATTCAGTTTATATGTCATTCTTCGTTCCTATGAATTACAGTCTAAAGACTTTATTTACCCATTTTCCTTTGATAATGTGGGTATACCATGTGAAAGATAATGTGAAAAGGCTTGCTGGTAGTTCCTAGACTTTGATCCATATGTTCCCCATGGTTTTATCTACAGGGAGTGAATGATTGTGTTTGTGTTAAGAGTGACTTAAGGACTCTCTTTTCCTGTTTTCCCTTCATGGTTTGGGTAAATGGTTTGTTAGTAATCCCAGCAGAAATCTTTATTTGTTCTGTAGGTTTCCTCATGATCTGGCCAGTAGGGCTGATCAGCACATTGCAGTCTCTGAATATAACTCGATCTAACATTTAGTTCCCTTGCCTCCTCCCTGCATTATGAAGGTGGATGAAAAGGCTGTTGGGTAAATAATGAGTAGTAATATTTGCCATAGCAGCTTTTTTTTTATCTTCATAATAACCATTTTTTTTAGATGAATTGAGTTCCAGAATAATTGAATAACTTCTCTGAAGTCATAGAGGTAGCAAAAATAGGTGGTTGAAAATTTGCAGTTCTGAATCAGGCTTTCTGATTCTAATTCCTAGCACTTTTTAAAGCATTTATTTATTTATTCATTCATTCATTAATTCACTTACATATTCATTCATTCATTCATTATGGCATTGGTTAACAAAATCCAATAAGTTTCAGTTGTACAGTTTAACAGTAAGGCATATATATGCTTACACTGTGTGTTCACCTCCCATAGTTAGATTTCTTTCTGTCACCACATATTTGACCCCCTTTACGCCATCTACCTCCCCACCTACCCCCTACCCTCTGATAAGTCTCTGTTTGTCCTGTTCATTTGTTACTTTTAGGTTTATATTAAAGCATTTATTAACTTACTAAAGTGGACTATTACTTTCTTTATTTCAGATGCTTAAAGTTTCTGGGAAGTCGACATCCAACCCTGGTGCTTCCCTTGGTACCAGAGCTCTTGAGCACCCACCCGTTTTTTGACACAGCTGAACCAGACATGGATGATCCAGCTTGTATCCTCTGTGCCTAGGGCAGATGCTGCCAACTTGGCAGGGAATTTTGGCATCTTTTTTCTGTAGTGTAGCTTAGGTGGTCTGAGTTTTTTTTTTCTCATTTATTTTAGGTGAGAGTATATCTTGATGGAACTTGGTGGTTATTATTCTTAGCTCATTCTCGTTTTCATAGTTCATCTTAATTCACCTTTGCCATTTGATACTAATAATTTTTTACACCATTTATTGATCACCTACTATATTCCACATACTGTTTAAAAGCTTTATACATTTTATCACTGATCTTCCAAACAACCCTGGAACGAGGTATTATTCCCAGTTTATAAATGAGAAAACTAGGATTTAGAGAGGCTAAATAACTCTCCAAGCAGCAAATCTGGGATTCAAAGCCAGTCATCTTTGGTTTTAAAGTCTATGAACTTTCCCCTATGTCTTATCCCATGTTTAACTTGATCTGCAGCCAGAAAGAGAGAATAGGGCCAACCTAGGCTGCATGATTACTTTGCCTCTGATAAAGGATCAATGGGTGTGTGATAGCCATGGGCAGCATGCTGTGTAATTGGATTGTTTTCTGGTAATGGGAATGAATACATTTACATCAGTGTATTCATAGTCTCCCATGGTTCTCTTTGCTCTATCACAAATGTTCCTGAGGTTTAGGGAGTATTTACTGAGACACAGGGATCAGGCAAATAAGATGACCATTGTATTCTCTCTTAATTCTGTTTATTTTCACAGTGTGTTTGGAGAATTTTTTAAAAGATCCATGTAATTGATTTACTAGCCAATGTCTGACTATTTACTTTTAAGAAAGGCATATCCCAGACCTTACCTCTAAAGTTGTAATACTATAGCTGTTTGAAATTTAGCTCTTCAGAGAGGGGCTTGTATGCTAGGTGTTCTGGATTTCATGACATTGAAGAGGTGCTAAATCTGAAGGTCATTTCACATTAGAAAAAAATCATTAAACATTTTAGAAGTTTATTATATTAAGATATTATTCTGGGTAGTTGGAGGATTGTGTTATTTAGGAACTATGTTTGGATGTGAGTAACAGAGATTGCCCCAAATATAGGTTAAACAAATTATGATATTTATTTTTCTCCAACATAAAAAAAGTTGGGGGTAAGCAGTCGGTGCTATTACAGCTGCTGCACATTAATTCACGCTTCTTCTGATGATGATCTAAGCTTCTTCTGTTTTTTTGTTCTGCTGTTTTCAGTTATCCAGGGTTGTTACTAGTGCTCCAATCCTCAGGTTCAGGTTCTAGGCAGGAAGTTAGAGGATATGAATAAAATCAGTTTTCTATTAGTAAGGAAAAAGGGTAGAATAGATATTGGGTAGGCATACTGCATGCTCTGCCGTATGGGTGCATATAGAGATTACAACTTATTTTTATCTTTTAGTTTCTGATTTTCCCTCTGTTATAAAATTAATATACATAAGAAAAAAATTCAAAAAAGTAGAAGAAACTTCATATTTAATACCCAAAGTCCTACTAGCCAAAGTAATCAACTGTTAATATTTTGGTGTTTTCTCTATTTTTTAAAAGCTCGGGGTTGGGATTTCGCTGTTATTAACATAGTTTATTTCATCAAGAAAAATTTGATAATAGGTGCTATCATATCTTCTTTGTATATATATATTTTTTCCCCTCTTTAATTCCCCCCCGCCTTCCACCCTTGACCTATGGATGTTGCCATTTCCCCTTAAGAACTGGATCTCCGAAGGCAGGGCATCTCCTCCCACATGTAGTGTGTACCTGAGGCCAGGTGCCCCTGGGGCCTGGCACCCCCAGCACACTCGGGGTGGGGGGCCTGGTGCACCCGGGGCCTGGCATACCGGGTTATGGTCCGTGGCTCCCCCTGGGGCCTGAACCCAGGACCTTCTGCATGTAAAGCAGACATGCTAACCAACTACACTGTGGAGCCACCACCCTCTTCTTTATATTTTAGAGCCTGCTTTTTTCACTTGTGACAGATATAATATTATTAATTCTTTATAATTTTTAATGTGTATAATGCTCCATCAAGTAGATGAAACACAAGTTGTATAGTCATTCTCTTGGTTTTGGACATTAAGGTTTATTATAAAAGATTCATGCTGATTGATTATTAGAATAGATTTTGAGGTGTGGAATTAGTCAACATTCATAAGACTCTTACTGTCTACTACAAAATTATCTAAAGGGATTGTGCCAGTATATGCTTTAGTAGCCAATGTGCCAAAAATTTTTGTTAGTATTTTCAGCAACATCAAGCATTATTTTAAAAAAATCTTTGGTATTTGGAGGGGTAATTGGGGCAATTTGGAATGGGGTAATCTATCTCTGTTTGAATTTGCATTTCTTTGTTAGAAAATTATAGTTATTTAATGGCAATTTTGGGGGCAGGAAGTGGAGGCACCAGATTCTGGCCAACTTCAACCTTTTATACCTCCACGTTTACTTAACCCATTCATCCATCAGACATTGCAGTTTTGGTTCTTATCTTCAATGCTGCGAAAACCTGTCCAACAATGCCTGCATTGTTCTCAGATCATACCTTCAGGCACTATGCCTACCTCAGGGACAGCCTTTCTCATCTTGTTCCTGCCTTGAGAGTATGTTGAAAACATCTTTTGCCTTTGTTTCAGGTTTTTGATTTTTGGTCATTTGTGGTTGTTAAATAGCAGCAAGCAGACTGTATATTCTCTGAAAACTCATTCATTCATTCTTTATCTCTCTTGGGCTGTGCTTTCACTTCTTACCTTTTAAGAAGATTCATTTTTAAATGTCCCTGAGTTGTTACGCTATGTTAAGCAAGAAAAAAGGAATCTAGAACAATATATTTTAGACCAAAGATTAGACCATGATATATTTTTACAATTACATAAAGCCGTAATTCTCAAGAGGTTTATTTATTTATTTATTTTAACAAGTTTATTTTTAATAATATAGACTTTATTATTTTTAAAACCTAGAGAAATAAGAAATTTTTAAATGAAATATACTGATAATAGCAAATACTTACTGAATGCTAACTGTGTGCAGTCACTTTTCTTAAGCTCTTTGTATTATCTTATCCCTCCTTTGGTTACTCTAAATAACTATTTAGAATAACATATCTACATGGTTAGAAAGTTTACATATAGAAGATATAAAATTAAAAGCAAACTCCTCTTTGTTCTCCCCTCCTCATCTCTTTCTTGAAAGGTAACTACTTTTAATATTAACAACAAAAATTATGATTATCATATAAAAAATTTATAGCATGCTATATAAACTTTTTTGGGGAATAAATCACCACTCTTCTATGAAGTGAAAGATCAAATAAAGTTTAAAAATAAATGTGACAACAGATTAATTTTTAGTCCTATTTCTGTGATTAGCCCATTTATTTCAGTTAGCAATAGAAAATATTAAACCATTCTCTTCTCCTTGCAGCTTGCGGCTATTTTGGGTAGACTATGTTCATTTTCTCTCTTTCTTTTTCTCTCAATGAAGCTGGGGAAGGAGGAAACGGATTTTTACTGAATCACCTAGCTCTTTTTCCCTTTACTTTGTTTGGTTCACATTTTTTTTCCTGGTTTCTTCGTGTTATTAAAAGCTGAGCCACAGAAATCTGATGGCACCATGACCCCACTATGTTTGCTTAGTTACCAGGTAGAAAACTAGTGTCATCAGCTGTTTCCCCCAATATCATGCCTCATGAGGATCCTTCTCATCAGTTCCTGCAGCAGAGCCTTGAAAGGGTGTACAGTCTTCAGCACCTAGACCCTCAGGGAACCCAGGAGCTGCTAGAGTTTACCATCAGGTGAGATGATTAACCCTGTCCTTTAATAATTAATACTGTTGGTATGCTCAACTTGACTATTTTGATTTCCAGTGTTGGTCATAGGCTACTTTTTCTGACTTTGTAGGCCTATGCTCACACATGGTTTTATGATCTGTTTATATTTGAATTAGATTGTGGTTTGAGGATATTACAAAGAAAAACTATTTGGGTTCATGGCCAGATTAATGGTTAGTACAAAACTAGAAAGAGCTACAAGGAAGCTGTTTTTAATTTTTCTTTCCTCATACATCACTTAGGATGAGTGACAGAAAAGGCAAAGTAACAGTGGTTTAGACAGGAGGAAAGGTTAATTCTTTCTCATAGGCAGGACAGAGCTGAGATGGTCATCAGGGGCCTAGGCTATTTCTCTCTTGTTTCTCCATCTTCTGCATCAGGCGGCCTTGGCCTAAAGATCCAAACCTACCAATCCTTTCTGTATTCCTACAGGAAAATGGGAAGAGCAGGAGAAGGGCATCATTTCCACCACTCCCCTCCCTCCCTTTTAAAGACACTTCCCTAAAGTTGTATTTTTAATTTTACTTGCATCCTATTGACTAGAACTTAAGTCACATGGCCATATGATACAAGGAGCTAGGAAAGGTAGTCTTTATGCTGGATGACCAGTGCTTAGTTAACATTTGGTGACTGTTGCTCAGAAGGAAGGAGAAGATGTTGGGAAACAACCAGCAGACTCTGCCACACCTTATTAGAATGTGGCATATCATCTTGAGTGATATGAAAAAAATTGAAACCCATTTGTCTTTAGCAAGGGCAGTATCTGTCTGTAAATAAGGTTTGATTAAAACACAACTATACTCATTTATTTAGGTATTGTCTATAGCTGCTTTCATGCTATAATGGCAGAGTTCAGTGGTTGCCAGAGAGACCACATGGCCTGCAAAGCCTAAAATATTTACTATCTGACCTTTTACAGAAAAAGTTTGCTGACCCTGAAGTGATGCCTCAATCACATTTTTATCTTTTTCTCGTCCCTCATTAAAGTGATTAATTTTAGAATCTGAAATTGTTGGCCCTGAGCACAGGAAAATAAGCTCCACTTCCTGACTCAGCCCCACCTAAATAAACATTTAGGTTTTGTCCTTAACAGTCTTTTTTAAAAATCCTGTTAGGACTAAGGCTAATACAAAATGCACAGAAGAAAGCCAGTTTGGTCATCAGCTGCAGTACTGACTAGGCTTTAAGTAGGTGCTCACTAAGTGGCCTTTGGTTTGAGTGACCTTCATGATCTGAGTTTTGTGAGGTGATAGTCTTGCTGGGTTTCAAGCTGGTCAGACCACTGTTGTAGTGCTGTGGTTAGTCCTGGGCACTATGTTTCTAACTGTGTGCATTCTGAAGAGAGTGGCCAGGATGGTGAAAGGTCTGGAAAGGAGAGCAGATGTTACTGTAGTTATTGATGACCTATTATGTTTTACAAACATTGCAGATAGATATTGTTACCATTTCACAGGGAAGAAATGAAAATTTTGGGAAGTGAAATAGTTTGTTAGGAAGTTGCAGAACCAGATTTAAATCTAGCTTTGTTTGACTCTAAAATTGATGCCCTGTGATATGCCATTGTGAAGGAGATTCTTTGTCAAGTGTAGATGAGATGACCACTGGGGTTCTTAGAACTTAAATTTTCCATTGTTGAGAAGTGAAATGTTAGAGTTTCATACAGAAGTTTCTTTGATTAGGACTCTGGTCATTTACTTGTTAGTACTAGTTTAAAACAAACTTCACTGTTATACACATTGCCTTTTGTTTTAATACAAGCAGCCATTTTACCCAACCAAGATCTCACCTATAGAAAGTCTACTTTAGTTCAGTGAAGGCCATGGGAGATGATTTGTTTGCTTGTTTGTTTCTAGAACTTGACATAATTACTTTGTCTTTACCACTGTACCTTGGGTGCTTTATAGGAACTCAGTAAATATTTGTTGAAAACCCTAGTTATGATGTCTTAACCAGGAATGAACTTTTAAGATTTTTGTACATGGCATTTTTTTCTGGTCATACCTCACTTCCCAATGTATAGATTTGATGTTTATATGGCTCTGCTGCTTCGATCATAACAAGAACTGCTCTCTATCAAGTGCCCACAATGTACCCATTCTTCTAAGTGCTTTATGTACATTATTTCATTTAATTTAAAAAGAATCACTTGAGAATTACCCCATTTTTACAATGAGTGAGGGAGCTGGGGTTCATTCATTATGTTTTTTGAGTATCCATCATATGCCAGGCATCGTGCTAGTCAAAGCGACATGATAGTAAACAATACATAGTCTCTGCTGCAAGGGATATTACAGCCTGGTTGGGGAATTAGCTAGGTAAACAAGAAATGAAGTATTGTGCTTTTCATGCTACAGTACAATAAGTACAGGAGAACTTGTAGGAGAATAGAAGGGGACACCTAACACTTCTTGGATCATGACTAAGCAATGACCTGAAGAATGAATAGAAATTCAAGTGCAGAAGGAAGTGCGTATCAAAGATCAGGAACAGTAAAATTCTGGATTAAAACATCTAGCCTTTCCATCTGGTCACACTGCCTTATTTCTGGTTAACAGTTTGTATGACATGAAACATGTACTATAAGGAGATTTAAAATCCAAAAGACTTGATTCAAGTCTTAGTTTTAGTTTTATCACTTCTTAGGTTCATGATCATGATCCCTCATCTGTAAATCGAACTATGAAGCTCATAACACTTTCGTAAAGGTTACCATAATATGTGGAAAGATTTTAAGAATATCAGTTACATAGATAATAGTTGGACCTTTATGAAATTTTGCTTTAAAAATTAAATCTAATTTTGGCTCATTTGACACACTAGAAATGCTCTTAATAGTTTGTAAGTAAATCCATTCCAGACTTTATGAATGTAATTATGTGTAAATTCATTGGTGGTGGAAAGGGATCGTCTTTTAAAGAACGCAGCAGTTGCTTATCTACTGTTTCAAATAATGAACTGATTTTTCAGAGTTTGTATTTTTCGTGTAATTCTTAAGATGCTGTTCCTGGTAATACACATTATTGTTTTAGAAATCACATCACTTCAGAAGTGTTCTGTAATAGAGAATTGTTCTTTTGTAATGAAACAGCTTATTTTGAAACAAATAGGACTTCATTTATCTAGAATCAAAAGAAATGCACTTCTTTTCTTATGGGAATTTTTTTAAACACCAACCCTGAAGAACGTGAGATTTCTTGGTTAAATTCTTTAGAATCCTTCTTTTGCTGTGCATCATTTAATGTCCCTAAGGAATAGTGCCTGTTTTGTGGCCTGGGAACTAGTCCAGTAACTAAAGAGGTGGAAATAAAATGTTTGTAATTTGTAATCATCTGGGTGCAAGAATGAAGATAGCTTTTGAAAAGTCATCATGATTCTGTACTCATTTGGCATTTTCTAACGTTCCTCATTATTTTACCTAAACTACTAAGAGACACTAATTGTAAATATGATATTTAGAGATTGAAAGAAATGTTTAGTCATAAATAACATTTGATGTACACACCCAGAGTCTTTTTGACTATCTTTAGACAATGATTTTAAAATGAACAAATACAGCTTATTGTGTAAACTTTTTTTTTAAACTGCAATATATGTAAACTTGCATTCTTATAATATTTTTAAAATACTACATACATGTTGCCATCATGTGAACTAAGGATTGCTAAACCGCATGTTCCTGGGAGAGCTCTTTTGCCCTGCCAGATCAAATCTGTAGAAATGTGGCTTAATATATATGATTTTAAATCAGTTTTGGTCTCATCTATATGTGATGTAGTTCATAAATATATGAAAAGAGTTTCATAGCAAATAAACAAATGAAATGCAGTATGATCTGGTACATAAAAAAAAAGACTTTCAGAGTCAGACAGACCTGAGTTCATGGTTTATTTTTGCCACTTAGTAAATTCTGTGACCTTGGGCAAGCCACCTAAACTTTGATCTTTAGTTTCATCCAAAGCAAAATGAGATTAATTGTAGTTCACATTGTAAGGATTAAATGAGCTCAAGTACGGAAACACCTAGTACCCCCAGAATAGTGCACATAGAAGGTGCTCTTTGTAACCTTTTTCATTAAAGAGTTCATAGTCTCCTGAGGGATGTCTAAACTGACTTCTTGAGGATTTTGGGAATAAAGAAGTTCAGACAGGAAACACTGGGACACAGCATTTTGTGTCTATCAAGTTTCCATTTTTATTTGTACAGTCGTTCAGATTTCCCATGGCTGGCTGTGTTGCATCTTGTTCTGTGCAATTCAGAACAATTGCTATAGTGCCAGAGTACTGTAACTTAGCACTAGGCTGCAAGCAGTCAGCTAATGTATAGTCAGCTGGTCAGTGTTCTCTGTAATTGTAACAGGAGATAGAATCTTCCTGGAGAAGAAATGGTTCAGGAGTAGAATGATTTGGGGCTTTTTCAAAAGAGACATCAGAGATGTGAAAGGAGAGACCAGCTGGCCATCAAGATAGCACTTCACAAGTGTGACTAGCTAGTTACAGGGTCTTTTTATTGTGCTGGATTCCCACATACATGCAGGCTCTCTAGGACCAGCTCAAGCTACCCAAACTCATAAGAGATGACATATAAGCTACAGACCCCAATTTCTTCAATCATTTTAGGAATAATTCACTCTGTACCTCTTTCTAGGGCACTTCCTTCCTGGTATAATAAGGTTCTTAGGCAGCATTAGCTATCAAAGTTGCCAGAGGTTATAGGGAAGGGGCTTAGTCCAATGGACAGTTTTGTACAGCTACTGTGAAACCTAATATATTAGGCCATCCCTGAAACAGTTAATTTCTCTCATGACCCAAATCTTCAGGTTTCCCACAATTATCACCTCTGTATGACATTCTGATGCTTCCATTAAAAACAAGACAACTTTCTATGAAGTTTTTCTGAGAGAGATTGTTAGGTCTCACACATACACCCTCCCTCCCCAAAAGACAAGAAGAAAAAAAAAACAATACTTTTTATAGATGTATAGCATATCTCCAGAAGAATACAAAAGAAACTAATAATGGTGGTTCCTCTGGAAAGGCTGTATTGGTTAGCAGTGCACAGGTATAGGAAAGTAGACTAATTTAATTATATATATATCCTTTAGTATCTTAAATTCTATACCTTAATAGTATAATTCTATAGCTCTGTATTATCTATTCAAAAAATTAAAAATTTTAAATTAGTAATTCTAGCCCCCAGGCACAACTATTTTATCTGTGTCTATTTTCTATTTATCTATTTTCTTGTCCTTAGGCAGATATGTTTTATTTGGTTGTAATCACTTTGTCTATACCTGTTATCCATTTAGGATGCTTTTAATTGCAGATATCAGAAAACCTTATCTCAAACTAGCTTACAATAGCTGTTTATTTTCTCATGAATAGAAATTGGAGGCAGTTCTAAACATGATATGCTCAAGTAATTCATTTATATAATTAAAGACCAGGTTTCAATCTCTAAAGATTTTTCTTGTCCTCAGCATTTGCTTTATCCCAAGGCTTTTTTCTTTTAGAGTTAATTGTGGCTGCCAGGCAATCAGGGCTAAAAGCAATCTTATTCAGACTAGTGAGACATAGAGAGAGAGACATAAAGACATAAATATGGAGAGACAGACAGGCAGACATTAAGAGATACCATCAGACCTGCTTCAAGCATGGAATATGAGTCCTTCCATTAGGACTAATAAAGCCAACTTAGGTCACATAACCAGAGAAATAACGTACTAATTGGCTTAGTCCAATTAAACTCTGTGTGGAATTGGGTGTGGGGACACTTTCCCTTGAACAAAATCAGGATTCAATTAGTAAGAAAGAGTGGAGAGTGGATAACTGGGTAGACAGCCAACAAAGTTCACCACAGCATCTTAAAAAATTTTTTCTGATGGTACAAAAAATAGTTGTCCATTGTTTAAAATATTTGAAAAATAAAGCATAACTGGGAGAAGGCACTAAAAAGTACCCTAATAACTATCCAGAAAACTACTTTGCTATATTTTTCTCCTATATATAGTTTTACATGGTTGAGATCATCCACTTTATTATTATTTTATATTTTAATGGCTATAGAATATTCCATTGACTAGATATAAAGTAATTTTAACAATTTTCCTACCTTTGAATATTTAAGATTTACTTATCAAGTAAATATTTATGGGGCATCAAGCATTTCATTTTTGTTGACTATTTTCCTTAGAATGACTTCTCAGCATAAAACTACTGATCAAAATATTTGACCATATGTATGACTTTTATAACATAGTACAGTTTTACTTTCCAAAAGAATTGTATCAATTAAGCTGCTCTCAAAGTGTGAGTGAACTACTTTCATTATAACCACTTCAGCACTGGTGCTCTGATATGATTTTTTTTACTGATGTTATCTTTATCCTCTCTTTGGCTTGGGGTTTTATTTACTACAGGGATCTGCAAAGACTTGGAGAACTTCAGTCTGAATTGGCAGGGGTAGCCGACTTCTCTGCTACCTACCTTCGGTGTCAGCTTCTTCTCATTAAGGTTGGTTTGGATCCATTATGTTCATAATTGTGATGCTAAGAATGCACTTTAACGTATCCAGCAGTGTTTGAAGCCGTAAGTAGAAAAATATATGGTCTTCTGTAGCCACATAGCAATGGAGAAATTGTGTACTCCGTGGTATAATTATATTTCTCTCTAATTAAGAATTATTAACTCATAAAGGAATTTGAATTTCTTTTGATTTGGGAGAATTCTTTCATCACTGTATAATTAGAGCAAATTGGATACGTAATCATTTTCTTTAGAATCCCAAGGATTGTGATTGTTTTTTTATTATTTGATTAGCAAAGAACTTGTATGAACTTTTATTCTCTTTTAAAGTGCTGATTTTACTTTGTTAGAGTCACATTAGACAAAGGTTGATTTCATTGCTGTTAAAGGGGCCAATCTGATGGCATTTTATACTAGGTAGTCAGTTGATATATATACACACACAAAATTGGTACACAAGAAGGTGTTTCAGTTTGCTGAGTTAAAACCAATTAAACTAGTTCACTAGCTTTCAGCTTCTGCATCAGAGTGTAGTTCTGCTATAAATGTAGGCTTAGGATTTAGGAGAGCCCTTCTTGATAAGACTTTATGTTGGCTTTAGTTCCAAATGTTATTAGTCTTCAAAATGATTAACCATATTTGTTCAAAGTCAGAATAAATGGAGGAGTCAGAAATTATTTCTCTCTGTAAGATGTGTGAGCTTATGGTTTTGCAAGTGTGTGTATACATCTGAAGGTGGGTTTGTACACTGAAGCAGGTTGGGATTTAAAGAGCTCTTCTGCTAGGTAGATTCTTTCAAATGTATATCTACGTAACTACCATAGTCAAGATATAGAACATTTTCGTTACTCCCAAAAGTTCCTTTGTGCCCTTTTGCAAAATTGTTTGGCTTTCCAAGCTTCTATGAAACAGGGCTAATAATCACCCAGATAAGGACGGTAACAAGCAATGTGTGTAAAAGCCCTTGGCCTGGTGTCTGATACATAGTGAGTGCCATGCCGCTGTTGGTCTTTTTCTTTATTCCTTGGCTTTCTGTCTCCTCTATGGGAATACAAAAAGGCCTTTGAAAAGAACCCACTTTTCTGTAGTAGGAAAAGAGAAGAGATTACTCCTAAAAACACAGAATTATGTTGTTTACTAAGTATCATGGAATGGCAGGGTAGGCAAGGGACCCAGGCTTAGAATCAGAAGCAGCCAGGTGTTTGATAATTAGGGAGGAGCTAAATCAATTGTGGCAGACCTCTACTGCACAGTATATTCTGTAGCCAGTAATGATCTTTATGAAGAACTATATAAACAACATCACAAAATACGGTATAAGGTTATGTACCCAAAAAGTATATAAAATTACTTCTGCTTTCTGGCTTCAATATATAAAAAACATGCATTTGAGAAATAATTAGAAGGAAATTTTCAAAAATAATAACTGTTAAGATAGTATGATTTGGGCGATTTATAATTTTTTATATCTATAGTCTAGAACTATTACTGTTTAATATAGTCACCAGGTACATGTGACTATTAATATTTAAATTTAGATGTGCTATAAGTGCAAAATACACACTGGATTGTTTAGACTTAGTATAAAAAATGAATATAAACTATCTCATTAGTAATTTTTAAAATATCGAGTGCGTAATGAAATTGTAGTATCTTGGATATACTGGGTTAAATAAACTGTTGTTAAAATTAATTTCACCTATTTCTTTTTACTTTTAAAAATATGGCTACTAGAAAATGTAAAATTACATACATGGCTTCTGTTATATTTCTGTTGGATAGTGTTAGTCTAGGTTTTCTGTAATGTCATTGGATTATGACTATAATTAAGAAGGACTGTGAAAATTAGAGACTTTAGCAGAGGTTTAGACAAGAGATGAGAGATGAGGCCATATAGTTGGATTGGAGAAGAGAGAAAGAAGGTGAAACCTATGGTTCTGAATAGTAGTTTTTGAATGTAGAGAGATTGAGAGAGGGTAGAATCTGTGAAAGCTCTTGACTTTTAGTTTGGGTATGCCAGTAAGGTGATAGGGCTGTTCAAAGGATAGTAAGTGTGGGGCAAAGAAAAGAAAAACACAGTCAAGAAAGAAGAGTCTAGACAGGGTAGTCCATTGACTCTTAGAACAAGGAGGGCCCAGAGCCTTGGGCTGGCTTGCCTTGACATTCTGGTAAGGGCTTCATGGCTCCTGCACTCTGCTTGCAAGCTCTAGTCTGAAACATAGGACCTTTGGGCCAGGAATTGGATTGAATGGGGAGGAGTTCATTTAGCTCAAACCACTGGTCTCCTGGCTTTCCATACTAAGTAGGGCTTATTGGCTTAAAAGAATAAGACTGAGAGGAAGTCCTGATTATGGTAGATTTTCAAAGCAAAACAAACATGTAAGTCTCATAATATGCCAGTCTTCGTGACCTCTGTGTTCTGTTCTTTCCTGATTTGTCTTCGTAGGCCTTACAGGAAAAGCTGTGGAATGTGGCTGCCCCTTTGTATTTGAAGCAGAGTGATTTGGCCTCAGCTGCAGCAAAACAGGTAAGCTTATTGAGACTTTCTCCTCAATAGATCTCTGTCCAGTGATTGTCTCAACTAAGTCAGAGCCAGAAGCCTTCATATAGCTCCACGTATCTGCTGTGGCCTCCCCAGTTTCTGCCTATGATGACAGAAGTTAGTGATATGAGAAGTAGCATAATTAGAGGTCGCAGCACTGGCTTTAGGGTCTGCTTCTAATTTGCTTGGTGGTATTGAGCAGATTACTTAACGTTTTGGATTTTTTCCTCTGTAAAATATGGCAGTTCAATTAGATGATTTCCAAGATTCTTTTGTGTTCTAAAATATTATCAGTTTGTATTTCAGACATGCTAAAATCCAGTAAATACTATCATGAATCTTTCATCCGAAAATGTAGCTGAACTCATTTTCAGGTTGTTTATATTTTTAGCCTGTACCATCTCTTGAATGTTAAAACATCCTTATGTTTTTCCTCAGTTCATTAAGTAGCATTTCATTTTATTTTGTTTGGGCTTATTTCTTTCTAGCTTTGAACAGTTTTCCTTCATTCTTTTTTTCCCCTCTCTTTAATTCCTCCGCCCTCGCCACTTCCGCCCCTACCTGATCTATGGATGTTGCCGTTTCTCCTTAAGAGCTGGATCTCTGAAGGCGGGGCATCTCCTCCCACATGCTCACAGCGTGCACTCTGGGGCTCTGGCGTACCTGTGGGGTCTGGTGCACCTGGGGTATGGTCCGTGGCTCCACCTGGGGCATGAACCCAGGACCTCCTGCGTGTAAAGCAGACATGCTAACCACTACACTATGGAGCCACCCCAAGTTTTCCTTCATTCTTAGGGATTGGGATTTGGTGAACTCTTCTGAGTCAAATCTTCCATATAGCGAGTCTGTATATGACTGAGGGATTATGACACAGTAGGAAGCTAATGATGGTAACTGTGATTGCTACATTACAGCTCACTAAATGATTTTAAGTTTGTTTTAATTAACCTTCACAATAAATAATCCCATAGGTAGGAATAAGTATTAAGCCCATTTTACAGGTGAAACAATTAATGTTCAGCAAAGTTAAGTTCATAGAGCTATAAGTAGTGGAGTCAGGGATTTGAGCCCAGATCCTCTGATACCCAGAGTCTGTTTTCTTTTCACTGCTCTGCTTCATCTTTCATCTGATCTAAACTCCCTCTCAGACCTGCTATGTGGCTTATTGTTAGGCAGTAGAACTTCATGACTCAAATCCCCAAGTGGGCCATATTATACGAGAGGGGATCAGGGAGCAATAGTCTGGAAGAAAGAAAGGAAAAGAGTTACCATTGCTTTGTGCCAGATACTGTGGTAGGCTCTTTTCATGCCCCATTTAATCCTTTAGATTTTATAATGTTGATACTGTTTCTTCCCTATTTACAGATAGGGAAACAGAAGTACTGTGTAATTAAGTAACTTGTCTTACTGTCAGTTGTAGGAGAGCCTAGAGTTATTTCTTTGACCCCAAAGCCTTCAAAGGAAGACAAGCACAAAAAAGGAAAGGGAAGAGAAGCATCATTTAGTTGGGAGTAGCTGATTTGGATAGAATAGAGCAAGAGCTTAAGATGCACTAGGCTTGAGCTGAGGTCATAGACTCTGTTTTCTGCACTTATTCCCTCCCCAAACTCGCTTCTACAGATGAGGCATGTAGAACAGTCTGTCTAGATGACTAACAGGTGGTTAACAGTTCTTGATGTTATATTCTTGAAGACTTTTCCCAGGGATTGAGTTTCCATACATAGCATATATTCATTTGTTTCTACAGCACAGTGAATTTGGTTTAGGGTAACAAGCAGTGCTTTACAATTATGTCAGTGATTAAACTTTCATATCTTCACATCATCAACTAAAATGATTTTATTACAAGAAGAAAGTCTTTGTTTTTCGATTGACAAAATAATTTATTCTCTTTTTGTAAGATATACTATACATTTCTCTCAACACTTAAAAATAAATTTCTTTCAAATTAATTTCTCTCAACATAGGCACTTAAAAAAATATCAGTTCAGAATTAAAGCATAGGCATTTAAAAAAACTCATTTCCGAGTTTCATCTACAATTCTGTACTGCTCTCAAGGAAGACTTGATATTTTCACTGATTGTTAATTACCTTTTCCTTATAGATCATGGAAGAGACCTATAAAATGGAGTTCATGTACAGTGGTGTGGAGAATAAGCAGGTGGTGATTATACATCACATGAGGCTGCAGGCCAAAGCCTTGCAACTTATAGTAACAGCACGAACTACTCGAGGGTAAGATGTGCAGCTGGTCCAAAGGGGTGGCATGGTCTTTTCAAAGACATTCAGAGATCTCACCAAGGTTAATTATAAGTAAAATGATAGTTAGGAAAGATTGGCTAAGGGATATTAATATTAATTTTTTCAGATATTGGGTTAGATTAGATCCCTGGAAAAACCTTCCAGTGGCTATGCCTACAGCATAGCATAGGACTTCATCTGGGTACAAGGACATTTTGTATGGTCCTTGATAGATTTAAGAATTTAGTACCAGAAACCACTTTTTCTCTTTTGAAGGGACTAGTAAGCTCTCTCCCAGGCAGTAAAGACAAATTAAGAGAATGTATTGTACAGTGAGGCTACCTTGTTCAAATACTGACCTCTTCACTTACTAGTTATTTGATTATGGATGGGTTTTTAAACTTCTCTTGTGCTTTGTTTCCTTCTCTATAAAACAAGAATGACAGCAGCATCTGAATCATGGGGTTTCTATGAAGAATGAATTGAATAACATGTAAAAGCACTCAGCATGGTACATGGTACATAGTAAGAGTTCAATATAATGGTAGCTGTTAGACTTTCTAATAAGGAGAATTGCCATATTTCATCACTTCAAAAATCCACATTTTTTTATTTTAACTTCTCTGAAATCAGGAATTTTGATGGTGTGCCACAGTTTGATTGAAAGTGGTTTTTGGTCTGTTTCTTGGTGTTTCACAAAATAAAGATTATCTTAAGAATAATGGCATCATAGATTTGATATAGTACAGTATTTATGTAACTCATTGCCAGATCAAAGACACATCTGATGCTTGATTCAGCAGTTGTGTCAGCCTAAAAGTGGTACAGAGAAATAAATGTGGGTGTTTAAGCACTGAAAAATACAGATCAGAAAGGACATTCTGAATATTTATTTTTCCACTTATCTTGATAGTGACCTGATAAACTCAGGTATTAATTTTATCTTAGTGATATCTATACATTCATTTAACAGATGTTTCATCCCTACTACTCAGTCACTGCTGAGAAGAGATAGGTGCTTGTGTTGGCATCTATACTTTTTTATTTAAAGAAAGTAGATGTATTTTTCAATTTATATATTATTACTGTAAAAATTTAAATATTGCAGATTAAGTGAAGGTCCTCTGATAATCTACCTTTTCTAGAACAGTGGTCAACAGATTTTTCCCAAGCCTGATAAATAGGGGTAGATTATAAATGTGTGTATATTAACATAAATCAAATCATAATATACTTTGCTGTTCTGTCTCTTTTTCATTTCATCCAACAAAGTAATATTTAATTTTTTACGTCATTAAATAAGATTCTAATACATTGGTCTTTTTTCATGCTGTATTATTTTATATTTTCCATTTGTATGCATTCTTGCTGCTTTTTTTCTTTCTTGATTTTTGCTAGATCTGTTTTTCTTTTTGTTTCTTTCTTATTCCAGGGGTTTAAACGTTCTGTACCCTAATTCTAACCTATTCAAGTGAGAGGCAGAATGTAGTAGTTAAGAGGGCTGCGGTGACTTGTTGCGTAGATTCAGATACTGACTCCACCATTTGCAAACTTAGTGACCTTGGACATGTTACTTAAACCTTCTATGCCTCAGTTTGTTCCTTTTAAGTTAAACCGAGATAATAATACTTATATGTAAATTTTTAAAAATATTGCCTGACATATTCAGAGTAAATACATGATAGCTCATATTAGTTGTCTAAATAATAGTTTTAGTCTTATATTTTTAGTCAATATATTGAACTATATCATCATAAAAGAATTAAATGGAATTTATGATAACTTCTACCAAGATCACCTCAGATCAAAATGAAAGTTTTAGTGTGCTTTTATTTGGTTGCCTCATACTGTTTAATTTGGAATTTAGTTTCAGCTTATGTTTTTATAATATATCTCTTATTTTAAGAATTCTTTCTTAAAATATGCATTAATCTTTATACATATATTTTAAAAATTATTTAGCTCCAACTTGCTTACTACTGTGCTTTTTATCCTACAGCTGCCTTTTAAAATTCCTTGTTTTCACTCACTATTTGACTGGAACACATTCTCTACTAATTGTTTTTCAGAATAAGTTTATAAGTAGTATACTCCTTGGGACCTTACATGTCTGAAACTGCCTTTCTTTTGCTCTCATACATAAATGGAATTCTTTCAGAACTCTGTAAATATTACTGTGTTGCTGTTTAGTACTTAATGTTGCAGTTAGGATGTTTGATGTCAGTCTGGTTCTCTTTCTTTCATAAATAGCTTATTTTTACTGGCTCAAAGCTGTAAACTTTTCTTTCTATTTAGAATTCAGAAATTTCACCAGGATGTGTCTAGGTATGTGTTTCCTTTTGATAGTCTTAGTGACCTTCATTGGGACTTTGAAGTCTCAACTCTGTTTTGAACATGAGTTTTTTTTTTCCCCCTCTATTATTTTCTTTAATTACTACTTTTTCCATCCAGTCCAGTCTCTCATACTAGATATTGTTATCTTCTGGATCTATTTTTTCTTATCTTTTCTCTCATAATTTCAGGGTTTTTTTTCTTTGACTGTATTCTGAGTAAATTCTTCAATATGCTTTCTTAATTTACCATTTCAGTTTTCATCATTTTTCATTCTAGTATTTGATTGTTTGATTTTATTATTATAGTAGTTTCCTCTTATCCACAGGAGATATCTTACAGGACCTCCAGTGGGTGCCTGAAACTGCAGATAGTATTGAACTCTATGTATACTATGTGTTCTCCTCCACATACATTCTTTTTCAACTTAAAAGAAGCACTTAACGGCTTCTCTTTGGCATATCCTAATTGCCAGCATCACTACTCTTGTGCTTTGAGGCCACTATTAAGTAAAATAAGAATTACTTGAACACAAGCACTGTGATACTTCAGCAGTCAATCTGATAACCAAGATGATCACTAGGTGAAAAACAGGTGGTTGGTATATGTAGTGTGGATACAGGGGTGGACAAAGGGGTGATTCATGTCCCAGGTGGAACAGTATGAGATTTCATCATGCTAATGAAAATGGTGTACAATTTGAAACTTAAGAAATTGTTTACTTCTGGAATTTTCCATTTAATATTTTCAGACTATGGTTGACGACGGGTAACCGAAACCACAGAAAGTGAAACCGTGGATAAGGGGACACTACTGTTTATTTCAAAGTGTGCTTTCTTCTCTGTACCTTTTTTGTAGCATTTTCTCTTGCTCTATCAATGCAGTAGCCTTTCACATCTCCTCTTAAATCTCACAGTGGTTACTCATTCAAAAATTTTTAAAAGGTTTCTTTGCTTTCTTGCCTTTACAATCTCCTCGTGATTATCCTTATAACATCCAGTAATTTGCCATTGTCTTTTCATACTTGTAAATGAAAGTCTAGACTAGTTTCAATTGGTAATTAGTGTAAGCTTCTCCCACAGCTGTAGGTCAATGCTTGATTTTCCCTAGTGGGCCTCACTCTTCCACTGCTTTCCTTCCTCACACCAAGGAAAGAGTAGGGGTTCTTAGTGGTAGATTTCTACTTCATGTAGCATGTAGGTGAGGCTGCCTGCTCTGTTTTGGGGTTTGGGGAAAGTTCTCAAATCTCTTTGTATTTTACTGCTTGGAAGCTCTCTAAGCTGCTTAGACAAATTGCTTTCCTTTCAGCCTCTACTCAGCTGGAGTTCTTCCATCCAGCCCTCTCACCCCAGACAGTTGTTGGTTGGTTAACCTCACTATCAAATTTCTGTTCCACTCTGGTAGTTTATCAGAGTTAAGAAAGTTTCAAGTGCTACCAGTTTAGGAAAACAATTTAACTGAATGTTGCTTGTAGAGTAAGTTTCCATTTGCCATTTCTCATTTATTCTTTCATTCAACAAATATTTATTGAATAGTTGATTATGTCAGGAAGTATACGATGAACAATACAGTCTACTCTCACAGAGCTTTCATTTTATTAGAAAGACTAAACTAGGTTATCAAAAACCTTGACACCATTCTCTGACATGCTTTTATGTAAGGAAAAGAGTATTTGTTTTTCTTTACTGGAACTTTATTTCTCCAGTGAGTAATATATTAATGAAAATAAATTGGAAGTTTTATGCAGAAATTACAAGAAATAAAATGCACAGAGATCAAAAGGAAAAATATCTTGTGTGATAAGTTATATCAGCCCAACATGTTGCCTAGATTACGTATGCAGTATGTTTGTACTGAAATGAAGTGCTCTTAAGTACTATGACGCTGAAGAAGTCAAGATAGAGAGCAAAGAATATAGTCTGTGTCTGTGGACAAAGTACTAACAAAACCTATTGCCCTTCTGCATGAGAATTTGACTTTTGGTTAACTTTCTAGGTCTGTTCCCTGGAAACCTGATAGTATCAACTATATTACTAGGTAACACTGCTGTGGTAAAAATCTCTGAGAATTGCATGTAGACTAGAAGGAACCATAAATGAACTATAACAATCTGATGCAGGCACCATAGCTTTGGACTTTATTGAATGCACCAGTTCTTGTAATTGGGCATATCCCTTGTAGGAAGGCTGGGATATATGCCTATGGGGTTGTTTCAAGAAATATTAGCACCTTTGGAACATGAGGATGGTCTCCACACTCATTTCACACTCATCTCCTTACATCCAAGCTGTCAGCCACAGAGTCAGATCTCCCAGACAGCTGTGTGGACTGCTAAATGGACTGCTGCAAGGACTCTCTCAGAGGAGGAATGTGACACTGCACTGCCTGCAAGCCGTGTTCCTTTCTATATCCTGAATGAATTTGGTGCCAAGTGTGGCCTGTGATGAGTCTTTAATTTTGCATGTTTGTTGAGCCTCATGGGCACTGCAGTTTTAATCAGGTCTTGGGTTCCTGAAAAATACTTCCCCTAAGTCCATTAGCCGTCTTCTGTTTCTCTGAGAGTTAATTTTAATAGTGTAATGTGCTCGTGTTTCATGTAGGCTCAGGTTTCTCAGACTTTGGTTCTCACTCCTCAGTTGGCAGATTTCACAAAGAAGCTCCTTTTTTTCTTCTTTTTTATAGAGTTGACCCCTTATTTGGGATGTGTGAAAAATTTTTACAGGAAGTGGACTTTTTTCAGAGGTAAGTATTTCATCACTCTTCTAGCTTATTCAGTTTTGGTTATGCCGAGAGTAGCACTCTAGAATGACAAGAGTGATCACAAGCAAGAATTCTTGATTTAACCCAAGAATCCACGCTATTATCTTTGACAGTGAACCCTAATTTGTGTATTTTCTTTAGTGGTGTATAACCTTCTTTAACCTTAGCTTCAGACCTAAACATTCAGCAACAGACTACTAAAAACATCAAGAGTCATTTGGATTCAGCACTCAGCTGGGCCATAAAAAGACAAGTATTATATGGGAAAACTCATGAACTCTTTTGTCGAAAAGTCACAACTTGTCTGTTCTTAAACCACTGATCTTAATGTACAAAAGATTGTTCCATAACTTTTATTTTATGGAAATGATTTGCTTTCTCAGAGTTATGTAGGAAGCAAATCAGTTGAAACAGATGCAGTAGATGAGCAGAAGGCTTGGTGAAATAGTGAGAGTCCAGGTAGTGACCAGACCTGTGGCATGCCATCAATAGAATACCACGAAGAAGGCATTTATAGGATTTTAAAGCACTCGATTAATTTCATTTCGCCACCTCTTCTCCCAACCCGCATGAACTTTACCAAACCTGAGATTTATGTGACTCTATACTTATTCTCATTCCATTTGGGTAATGAATGGATAGCTTTTATAAGGCTGGGTTGCAGTACCACCCTTCACCAATAGGTGCTCCTCTCTAGCAAATGATATAGTCTACCTTGGCTCTTTAAGATCTTGGCTTCGAATCTGAACTAAGTTTATGCCTTACTTTTGGTTTTAAATTCTTTAAAGTTGTCTGTTTTTGCACAGTTACATTGAAGAGATTTTTGGAAAGGTCACAGCTCTGAATTACCAAAGTTCCTCTTCTGTTTAGAGCTGCTCATTCTTTCTTAGTTCAGTCTCTGAGGCCCTATACACTTAGGTCACCTCCTCAGTGAAATATTTTTTGCCGATCCCCTTCCACAAGGTAGAAGTACTGTGGAATCAGTCAGAGCTGGGAATAAGTTACTTAACTTTTAAAGTCTCAATGCAACATCATTTTAAGTCTCAGTGTTCCTATCACTTGAATATAAATTCTGTTAAGATAGGCATTTCCATTTCTTTTGCTCACTGTTATGTCCCCAGTTCCTAGAATAGTACTTGTCACTTGGTAAGTCCTAAAGACATATCTGTTAAGTTAAATTAACGAGTCTACAATATGGGAAAAATAATTCTAACAGTACATAGGATTTCTGGGAGGATTAAATAAGATGATGTAAAACATTTAAGAGTATATCTGGTACATAATAGGTTTTCAGTAAACAAGGCTATTATGATGATCATGTCCTTAAGGTGTAATTAGCTAGGTACCTGGCCATCTCAGTCACTTTTTCTGTCTTGGGGCTTGGCAGATGTTTGGGGCTTAGCCTGTGGTGAATGAATGCATAGTCATTTGCTTCTGTTTGCTTCTCCAGGTGTTTCATCGCTGATTTGCCCCACCTGCAGGACAGCTTTGTGGACAAACTTCTTGACCTTATGCCTCGACTCATGACTTCCAAACCTGCAGAAGTAGTCAAAATTTTACAGACCATGCTGCGGCAGAGTACTTTCCTGCATCTCCCCCTTCCAGAGCAGGTCAGGGTCTGTGTCATATCCCTTTAGGGCAAGTCTGTCCATAGAGCGAAAACTGCTCACCTTGGTAATCTTCATTTGCTATTTGGGCAGCTGGGCTAGAGCCTGTCCTGTGAGTGACTCTCACATGCCCACCCATTAGATAAGGAGACAAAAAGGCAAGGATCCCTTTTTGTTGCCCAGGGATGACCTGCCTTTGGAATCATTGTATTTTCTTCTTGCTCGCAGATCCACAAAGCCTCAGCCACCATTATTGAGCCGGCAGGCGAGTCAGACAACCCTTTGCGGTTTACATCTGGATTGGTGGTGGCCCTGGATGTCGATGCAACCCTGGAACATGTGCAGGATCCTCAGAGCACCGTGAAGGTCCAGGTTTGTCAATGTTTGGTCCCCACGGAACTTACGTACTGACTTTGTGTCGAAGCATATAACTTTAGCACCCCTTTAGTCCCTACCTGAGGGACAGAAACTGGTACCCAGTAAGGATTCACTAAATGACAGGGCCCTTTCTATTCTTATAATGTGAGGGTAAGACTTGGTCTTTTTGTGCCTATAAGCATACTGTAACAAGTCATTTTTAAGCTGTGAGCAGGTCAGCTTGGTGAAAATTTATAGGTAGGAAAAATCAGTCACTAAGTATTTTTTTCCAAGTTAGAGACATCTATTCGAGACATGAGAGATGAAGTAGAGACACTAATCAGTTTAGACATTCTGTTATTAAGCCCCACAAAGAGTACTATCCATTTATCCATCTATCTGTCCATTCTTCCATTCATGCAGTAATGTTTACTTATTGCATATGCTATGTGCTAGTGTTTCAAAGGTAAATATGTCAGAATTCCTGTCCTTAGGATGCTCAGTTTCAGTGAGATACATATACATGGTTCTAGTCAAGATCTTAGAAGGGTAGAGGGAGAATTACTTCACGTACAGGGTTATTCCAAATTTTGACTAGTATCAAAAATTTGAAATATACTTTAAAAAATATTTTAAAAAATACTCTGGAGAGGCACTTATTTGGAGACTGGTGGAGGCTGAGGGAAAAAGGCTTTGTGGAGATGCTGGTGCATGGTGAGATCTGAAAGAATGAATACGAGCAAAGAATAAGGGGAAAAGGAGGTGTTCTGGGCAGAAGAGATATGAATAAAAGTAGGAATGCAAGCATTGGCAATCAGAGGACAGAAAAATAGCCTGGTGCAGACAGGGAAGGCTTCCTGGAAGAGATAAAGATGAATCAGGCCCTGAAGATGGTAATATTTGCCTGTGGTGACAGTAGAGAAAGAAACTGTATAGCTTACCATTTATTCTGCGCTGGCTGTACTCAGTGGTTTTTTGTTTTGGTGCCCCCGCCGCATCGCCTGCCCACATTAGTGGTTTTCCACCTAACTGCACTTCAGAATTACTAAGAAAGCACTAAAAAGTACTGCGCAGGCCTCAATCTACACCAGTTAAATCAGAATTCTAAGAGTAGGGCTCATGGGTTAGTTTTTTGTTGTTTTGTGTTTTTTTCTTTTTGAGCTCATACGTGATTCTAATGTACAGCTGTGGTTGAGAACCACTGCTTCACGTTGTCCCTGGAAAAAAAGTTTACTAGGCATAAATGAGATTGTAGGCAGATTGTTTAAGGTTATCTGCTGAACTCTACTGAAAAATCTCCAAAGCACCTCCACTACACTCATGGCCAAACTGTTTGGATACCTCTACAGTCAGGGAGATGAGAAACTCACTCTCTGGTCATGGGGCAGCTCTACTGACTGTAAAAGTCAGTCCAGTCACCATACCTGAATTCCTGTTCTGGACAGTGCTTTAGGGGCTAGGGATGTAGCTGTGAACATGGCTGAGATTACGTTGAGATTACATTTTCTGTTAAACTGATGTATATCAGTTCTTTAAAGCATGCCCTATAGGAACTTCATCTAATAACAGTTCAGTTAGCCTAATTCAGGCCTACTATATTATACCTGATGATAGAGGAGGTGTGGTTTTTTAGTTTTTCTGAAATTCAGAATGTAATTCATATGGCTGTTTTCTTCCCCTGACCTACTTGACAGACTTCTGAGCTGCACTTGGGAGCAGTAGAGGAATAAAGGCAGGCTTCCAGCGACCATTGCACAGGGAGGTCAAGGCCTTTCACCACGAAAAGTTTTGCTGAGAACTCTGGGAGATTCTGTTACCTTTATCATTTTCTTTTCCATGCTCATTACTATTTCAGCCCTCCTTTGCCCCTCTTTTTTTTAAAAACTGAAGCCCAAGTTTTGTCTTTAAAGATAACAAGGATCAGGAAGCTGGAATGCCAGCATCCTTCTGTTGTAGTAGATTGTAGTTTGGGGCCTGGAGATAGAGTGGCAAGTAGCAGCTTTAAAAGAGAAGAGTGGAATTGGGGGTGGGAGCTAAGATCTGAGGAGAGATGAATGAGATTATGAGGCGGGTGGATTGAGACATGTCTCCGAATTTCAAATTGAAAGACCCATGTGGTTCCCTACTTTGCCATTATCTGTATATTTACATCGTGCAGATCCTGTCCTATGTAATTCTAGAATAAGCTTCATTTGTTCACGTTGTTCCTTTGTACACTGTGCAGTGTAATAGGCTGTTTCCACAGACAGCTGTGAGCCCCCCGGGATGCCGAGGAAGGAACTCTGTGGCAGTTTGTGAGATTTGTGGAACTGGCCTGTGATTTGAGCAGACCCTTCATTGAACACTGCCTCTGTAGAAAGAGACTGATAAACAGCTTCTTAGCCGCTTTTAATCTAGCAGACAGAATATAGTTACAAAATTATTCTTAATAGTTGGTGGATGGTGATGGATGCTGGGCCATGATATGATTCAGAGCCAGGAAGAGAGAGAATCATCCTGATGGGGGTTCCTGGAAGACTTTTCATGTCAGGATTAATATTTTTACCTTATCTTTGTCCTTAATAGAGAGAGACACTTTATTCCTCTCATCATGAATTCAGGAAACATTTACCAAACACTGCTTCGTGCTGGGGCAGAGGGTATAGAGATGTCAGCAGTGTTGCCCTCCCTTCAAGGAGCAGTCTTTTGTTAAGGCTAGTGTCATCTTTTCCTTTTGTTTTGGTGTTCACAAGAGCTGTCACCAGCAATTTCGTTAAAAGCTCATGGCTATGGCTCTTCTGCCTCTTTTTTTTTTTTTTTTCATATCTGTTATCTCTTAGGTCTTATATCCAGATGGCCAGGCTCAGATGATTCACCCCAAGCCTGCGGACTTCAGGAATCCTGGCCCAGGGCGGCACCGGCTCATCACTCAGGTGTATCTCTCCCACACTGCCTGGACAGGTAAGGGGTCAGTGAGCCAGGGTGGGCAGGAAAGTATGCTCCTGGGGATCACACTCACCCTAAGGCATTTGGTTTTTTGCATGGATGAATCAGGCCTGCTAAAGATTGTACATGATTTCTTAAGGAGGTTAAAATCTCAAACTGGGTACATTTAGACTAATTTGCTACATTGCTTTGATTGCATGAGACATAAGATATTGTCAGAAGATATGTAGATTACAATAGAATGGAGTCTCATGGAAAGACCCCTGAGGCTAGATGCCGGGAGACTATTTTCCTGTCCTGATTCTGCCACTGACTTGCTGAGTAACCTTGGACAACCCACTCTCCCTTATTAAATCTGTTTACTCGCCTTTTAAATGAAGATAATTCTCAATCTACTAGTCATTTCTGAGAAGAGCTGTGTCTGGAAATGAATCAGTTTTGTACTTCTTACCAAAAATTTAAAATCATTCTTTTTGTATATGAACAATTCAGTTTATTCTCCCCAAAACAAGTAAAATGACAATGGTTACTGCCCTCCCTTCCCACATGAGCTGGTTTGTGGGGTAACGCAAAGTAAGATGATCTATTTATGCTTTACTCTCCCATACAGTGACTGCATAGTGCCTCAATAATTTGTGAAAGGTCAGGGAGGTTGCTTAAGTTTTTTTTTTTTTTAATTCCTAAGAATAAAATGAGACAACACAAGGGCAAAGACATTACATTTCAAGCGTGTAAGGTTGCTTTGGAAACTTTAAAGAGACTCAGTCTGCAGAAGCTAAAATGTGGGGGAGACTCGGCCTCGCTGGTATTTCCTAAATCATTCAGGATGATTCAGAAGAATGGTTGTTACTGGAAGAGAAGGTGTTTAGTGCTACCAGATTTGGTTTATTTTAGAAATAGGTGGTTGCCTTCTGGAATTTTATTTCACTGTGTTTTTAAATACATTAATAACTATTCAATGCCATTATTAATGGTTTCCTTCTATCAGGGGTGTTAGGTTATAGGTGTTAGTTATAGATGACTTTATAAAGTTTTCACAAAGAAGAAGGTGGTACTGTTGAATGTCAGGGCAGCCCCTTTGGGTGTCTAGTGACCCTGAGCCTGGCAGAATTGAGGGAGCATCCAGCAATGCTTTTCCCAGGATCTGTCTCCCTTAGCATCCCTCATCTCATATTCTTGCTGCCTGCAATGTTTCTGCACTATTCGCCAAACCTCTAGTCCCACAGGAAGGTAGAATTCCTTACTCTAATCTCTTCTGGTGAACGGATTCTAGATATGGGGAAAATGCTGTGGGACAGCATTGTTGTGTAGAGGCAAGGCTGGGGGCAGGGCGGGGAGGGGGCGCTTGCAAATCACAGTATGCTTGAGCTCAAAGGAGCTTGAAAGGCCCCTAGGGGCCTACTGACTTGCCCTTGGTCACACAGCAAGTCATCGCCTGAACAAGGGCTACAATCCAGGCCATCCTGAGCCGGAAGAATTATAATTTATCCAGGATCATTTCCCCTGAGAGGTTCCTACCCAGTCACTATTATAAATCTATATTTGAATTCTCTGCATAGCACGTGACTAATGTCAGATTTTTTTTTTAATTTGTTGACTGTCTCTCCAATTAAAATGCAGGCTCCTTTAGAGCAGAGAATTTGCTCATTTTTACCTCTGTATCCCCAATACCTCTATATCTGAGTCCCTAAGTGCCAGACATGTAGTGGGTGCTCAGTAAATAATGAAAACTGAATACAGGATTTTAAATGTGCAATTAAAATTCATTTAATCCTTAGACCAACCTTCTGGTGGGAATTAGGATTTTGTTCTTCATTTTATCGATGCATAAATGGAGGCCCACTTAGCTGGTCCACGGTGATGCTGAAGCCGGCACTCAGATTTCCTAATTCCCAAATCCTTTATTTGTTCACTATACCATGCTTCTTCTGACCTGGGAAACATGTTCGCATTCTGAATGCACCTATGCCTTCTTTCTTCTAATCCAGCTCCCTACCAGTGGCCTCTTCTTTGGGAGGCAGGATGCTGATAGGTCAGAAGCTTTGAGTCACATAGACTGGGGTCCAAATTCTGCCTCCCTTGCTTTGTGATCCTGAAAAAGTTATTTTACTTCTTTGTCTCATTTTCTTTTCTGTAAGATGAGAGTTAGAATATATATCTCATAAGAGAAATAGTCTTCCAGAATATGAGTAGGTTGCATGATTTGTCCCAGATGATCTTTTGTCTCTTACTTCCAGTATCCCTCTTGTTTTCTTACCTCTCTTCCTTCTTCTGAGGGCACTTGTTTGAATTGCCATTCTTATATGCTGATAAGGGAAGGCATAACAACCAGGTGGAGTTGTGTCCTCCGACTTTACCAGGGTTTAGCTCTTGAAAATGCAGTGAACTGAGGCTGGGTTCTGGTCCGGGATTGGCAACAGCTGTCTGGGACAAAAGAGGAGAACATAGTGGGAGAGCTGATACTGGGGTGTGGTACCAGAGAGCAGTGCTGGTTTCATCACAGATACATTCAAGACTGATATTAGGCCCCATATTATGACGGCATGTACACCACATGAACCCTGGTAAATGGTGATGGCTGTTCTTTGGGGTAGGCGAAGTTGCTCAGGCTGTCTGCAAGCCTTTCTCTTCCTGGAGCAAAGCAGTTCAGTCTCTGCTCTGATCTCTAGGGAGAAGTCAGAAGGAATTCTGGAGAGGCATTGAGAAGTCTCGGGACCTCTGCCCTTGTTCATTTAGATCTATTCAGCCCTCATTCCTGCCATCTGAACTTCTTAGCTTTGGGCTCACCTTTAAAACTTGTACCTTTTGCTCCAGGCATGAAACTAAGAAGGCCTTTGCACTTGCCCTTAGGTTTTTCTGAAATCCCCCACTCCTCTTCCCTTATCGGAGCCACGTTTTTAATAGAGAGATTAATTGTTTCAGTTCATGAACTTGGCTCAAATTCTGTCACTGGTGTGGATTTGAGCAGTCACTTAGAACCTCTCAGGGCCTTGGAATTTTTTTGGGATTGTGACTGTCTTTCTTTCATGGTGTAACAGGATAAGAATTCTTAAGGTTATATGCTTGGCATAAAGCTTTCCTGGGCTCCCTCCTCAGTACTTCTTATAGACTCAGAGAGTATACTGTGCTTTGGGCAGCTGTCTCTGTCTCTTCATCCAAATGGTCAGCAATATGAGGGAGGATTGTTTACCTTACTGAGGCCTGCTACTTGCAGACACCAGATCGGTATCGAGATGTCACGTCATAAAAGAACGAAAGGTTTAAAGACATGATTTTAGGTCCCTGAAACATGTTCCTGTTCACTGGGGAGAATTTTTTGTCAGAACTATTTCCTAACCAAAGGCTTCTTCACTAAAACAGCAGAGTTTACGGGGCACACAGCCCTGAGGCCTGAGATCAGCTGTGCAGGAAGAGGAGTGTCTGGTCATGAGAACTGGCCACATTCATGTACCTTGCAGCCCTCTGTCTTAAGGCTGGAAGGCTTTTGTGGAAGAGGGGTTCAGCTTACTCTCTGATCCTCAGCAGCCATGGCCGTTAGCTGCTGGGCAGCCTATCAGTGCATCTACAGGCTTAGGATCTGCCTCACAGGATTCTGGCTGGGAAAGTGTTTTTGTTTGGTGTGGAGAGGGAAGAGTGTGGACAGATGGAGAAACGCTCTTGAAACCCTACTGCTTCCATCTTTGATGTTGCTTTTACATTTCATCTTTGATGTTGCTTTTACATTTCATTCCTAGCCATGCCCAGTCATAGAAGATTTCTTTTGTCTTTTTTTTTTCCAGAACCATGCCAAGTGGAAGTAAGGCTGCTGCTGGCCTATAACTCCAGTTCACGCATTCCAAAATACCCCTGGATTGAGGGCGGCGAGGTATTACCCCAGGTGGAAACCAGCATCGAGGGCACCATCCCGTTCAGCAAGTCTGTAAAAGTTTACATAATGCCCAAACCAGCAAGGCGCTGAGGCTCAAGTGGTCTTTATAGTCATGGCCTAGAAGACCCTTGAGCCAGAAGCCTGGAGGATTTCACCTGGAAATGGTGTATAGGCATAAGGGGAAACATGTGACCCTTATAGTCTCATCTGGTATCAAACACAGGATAAATTATTTTTCATTAAGAAAACAAAAACCTTCAAGTCTGTCCTCTCTCCCCTATCCTTCCCTGTAATAAAGTTGAAAAAACACCAAGCTGGTCCTTAAATTTGTGTGGCTATAGGTTCAACATTTACACCATATGCTTACATTCCTTGGGTGTGAAACAGAGATCCAGTTTTCCATACCACCTCCAAAGAGCTGCTTATTGGAGTCATAATCTTGTTTCTTAAAGCAGTAGTCTGTTTGTCAGGGCCAACTCCAAAGCAACTTTCACAGCTGTACTTTTTCACCATAGACAGTTCCCGAATGACCACACATCCATTATCTTGTTGAGAAGCTCCTTCCCTAACTCAGACAATAGCTGGGCCAAGGACCGAATGAAAAGCTGGAGAATGAATCATTTTCATCCCTGAGGGAAATTCTTGATCTTGCCTGCCATTATTGTTAGACCCAAAATAATAGAGAAAGGCCGCATTTTAGAAGAAGAACTAGGATTATGGGAAAGAAGGATCCAGTGTAAGAAATAAAACCACTTTCCACTACATCTCTGATGGCTTCAGAGTTGAGGCTGCGTGTGAGTTAAAGGTGTAGCTGGGGTGTAAGAACAGTAAATGCACCAGAGATGTTAACCTCTCTGTGATGAGGGCCCATGCTAAGTTCTTTACATGTTTTATAATCCTCACAACAGCCAGGTGAGACTTAGAGTTTAAATCACGGGTGGGAAAACTACAGCAAGTAATAAAGCTTATATTCTTTCAAATTTAAGTTGATTCCAAAGGTCAGGGGAGGTATATGGAAAAGAGCCTTCAAATCTTTAGCTCTCTGTTTCTTCATCTGTAAAATAGAGATAATTATAACTTAAGGGTTGTTGATGGGTTTAATTAAATAATGCTTGGTAGAATCTGAATTTACTTGATCATATTTAGTACTTGGAAATCTTATAACAACAATAGCAAGATCATACAGTTACTCAGAGATGGAACTAGAATTTGAAATCAAGCATGTTTGACTTTTGGTTTAATGCACTTAATGTGTGCCTGGCAGTGTTGTAAGCCCTTTATATGAGTTAACTCATTTAACCCTCGCGATCACCTTATGAAGTATATACTGTTACCTTCATTGGATAAACAAGGCAGTTGACATTCAGAGAATTAAGTAACTTGACCTAGGTCACACAACTAGTAAATGACAGCTGGGATTTGAACCCAGGCAGTCTGGGTCCAGGAGGTCATAAGAGAAGAAAGATCATCTCTAGAGAGCCTACTTTTCTAGTGTGCTTGCCTATTTTGTATATCTCAAGGATGTACTAACAGTAGGTTCTCATGTATCAACAATAGATGCTCTGAAAAAGTGCCTGCCTTGGAGATAAAACGAAGCTTGAAACCAGTCTGAATAATACCATGGCCCTGACACATGATGATTGCTGGGTTGGAGCATAGACAACATTAAGACTCATGGCTGCTGACTGTAGCTATAGAAAGCCTACTAAGAAAAGAGTATGTTGGGTCCTTTTCAGATAATACTTCTTATATAAAAATCCTTTTCAGGTTATCCTCCATTTTACAGGTGGGGAAACTGAGGCTCTGAAGTAATATTTTTCTCCTAAGGGACAAAGCCAGGGTTTGTTTGACTTTAGGTCTTAAAATACAAAATATATGTAGTACTTTTTCAACAAAGGTGGAGCTACCCTAAGGGGCAGATTTAGGCTTAGTTTCAGGATGTTTTATAAAGCTGCGTAAGAATTGGATGGGCTGCACTAGGAGATAAGGAATTCTCCATGCTGGATGTGCTCAAGCAGAGGTTGAACAAGCTCTTGACAGTTTGTTGCAAAGGAATTCAAGTATCGTATGACGGGTTGAGCTCACTTTTTAAATTCTTTTTACCCTGAATTCTCAGGTTTTGTGAAATATGAGGAGCTTGATTTTTTTTTTTTTTTTGCATTCTGGTTACATACTTTTTCACTGAAGTGAAAAAATGACCTTCTGTTACAAAGACCTGGAAGGGAACATAAAGATCACTCTGGTGTGGCACCTTCATTTTACAAGTGAAGGCGCAAGCCCAGAGATACTTAGTTTGTGCTGAAGCCAAGGCTGATGCCCAGGTCTCCTGATTTTTAGTACAATATGGTTTTCATAACAGGTGTCAGTTGGCCTTTGTCAGCAGTCCACCCAGTAGTCAAAGCCAGAAACCTGTGTGTCACTTTAGACTCCTTCCTCATCCTTCATATAAAAACAGCCATTAAGTCCTTTAGATTCTGCTTCCTTAAATGTTTTGTGATTCAGTCCTCTTCTCATTATACTCACTGTTAAAACCCTGATGCAGGCCACCAGCATCTCTCCTAAAATATGGCATTGCTGTCCTCATGATTTCCTTGCCTCAAATCTTGCCCTCTTCGGTCCATTCTTCACACTGCTGTCAGAGTAATCTTTCTAAAACCCGGATCTGATCACACCAACTCCTCTGTTTAAACCCCTTTAAGTGGATCACTTCTGGTCCCAGGATAAAGTCTAAGCTCCTATCCTTGAAGGCTGTTTATGCTCCTGCTGTCTGTCATCTCATCTCATACTACCTGTCCCAGACAATCTCTGTACTTCTCCAGCTGTGGAGAATTCCCTGCAGTTGTTTCCGGTGCTCACCATGCTCTCTCTTGCCTCAGACCTTTGGACCCGCTGACCCCTGGAATGTGCTCTTCAGTTTGTCTGCTGTGGTTCCTTTCTCCTCATTCTTCAGAACTGAGCTTCATTCTAGAACATATCTGTGTCTCCTGTGGGCTTAGTGCATTGCTTCTTTGTCCCCACCTATGCATTCTTCGAGCATAGTATTATTGCAGGTTCACAAAAAAAACCCCTAAAGAAGGTAGGCGGGGAAAAAGGAATCAAGAGGCTTAGAGAAAGGTAACAGAGACTGAAGAATCCGAGAGCACACATTCTCTGTCAGAAGGCAGTTGCTATTCAGCGCCACTCAGCTGTTTTTAAGTGTCAAATCTTCCAGAAAAGCCAGAAATCTGCATTTTTATGTAAAAAACACCCAATTAAAAAATCTTAGCTACTAAAGCAAATGTTAAAATTTAAAAATATGTTTCCAGGTAGATTTGTGCCAGTTTGCAACTTCTGCATCATTTGCTGTGTGTTTACATGTCTATTCTCACTAATCTGTAAGTACGTGGACAATAAAAATATCTGTGTTATATCCCCAGAACAGCTTCTGGCACATACCAGGCAAGGAAAGAATAAATGAGTATAAGAATCCACAGTAAACCTAGTACCATGGATGCCTGGAAAAGCCAGCCCTAAGATTCAAGTTTCTTAAAGGATTTTATATTTGGCTTTGACATGATTGACTTCAGCAAACAGTATTATGGGGAAAAAAGATACACACCTAGCACTTAGCAGACTTCGTGTCTTTTTGTCTTCAGAACCACTCAAGCAAGAATAACTGGGCAGTGAGGGCTGTGCAACCTACAAATTGAATCAAAAGGTTTAATAATTATACTTAATAATAAGTATAGTGTCACGTAGAAAAATAGCTTCTCTGGGTTTTGCACATTTCCAGCATGATGATGTACAACAGATTCAAAGTAGGGGCTATTTATTAGGTTCTATACAAGGTTTAATAAACTCAATTCCAGAAACTTCTGTCTCTAAGAAGTTTGTACTAAGTTCACTTTAATGTGGAGACAACTCACATAGGAACACTGATTACACCCACTGGCGCTGTCTTACCTCCCATTTGGTTAAAAAATTTCATTCCATCAATAGAAAACAATCTGAATTCTATTAAACATCCTTCCTAGCTATATGTGTGCCTGGCTTTATGAGCCTAGGGAACTGAGATCTAGAAAGATCTTGTCATCTGACAAATGACTGGTTGCAGAAAGGACACTGAGCAGGACTTTCCCAGACCGCTAGGCTGGGTGTTGGGTGAGTGAGGATCTCATGCCTACGGGCCTCCTGAGGAGGTGCGTGGTAGAAAAAGATCCAGACACAGCATTGGGTCTGTCATTTACTTGCTGGGTAAACTTGGAAAAATCCCTGTACTTTTCATTTTGATGGTCTTAGCTCATCTTTTCTTGCCAAGCCACATCTTAAGTTGATGCTCTATGGATTGGCTACCCTTGGGTCAATAGCCATCTGGGCCAATCAAGTAATAGGATCATGTGGAGTGAAAATCAGCTTTCTGGGGCTGCTGCTACAAGGGCTGGGGTGGAGCAGTTTTGTTTTTTCTTATGGCTGTGATAAATACCATATTTAGTGAATGTCTAGTTAAAGAGTTTCCAAATATTTGTTTGAATAAATGAACATCTCGTTCTTTAAGATTCAGCTTGTGTTACATCCTTAGTGGTGTCTTCTCTAATTTTCCTTCCATCCTGGTAGGATGTTAGTCCATCCTTTGTGCAACCTTTGGACCTTATAACTATTAAAATGTTGACACATTGAATCATTGTTGTCTGTTTATTTGTCCGTCTCTTCCATATAACTCCTGAGTGCAGGAACTATAACATTAATTCCTATACCCCGGGCCTAACAATAACTGGTCATAAGAAAATTAGTAAAAGACTCTCTAAATGGGCATGAATGAGAATTACTGAATAAATGAGAAAGAGTAGATGGTTCCTTTGGGCTCCAACATTCTACAAGTCTATGAAATAATAAGGTGCTGTATTAAGAACCATAAAATGAAACTAACTGGCTTTACACAGCAGCTCTATTAATAGAAAGATAATGACAACAATGGCTTCAATTTATTGAGTCCTTACTACATGCCAGGCAATGTGCTAAGACTTTCTATGAATTACCCCATTTAATACTTAAAATAACTCAGGGTACTAATATTATCCCTGTCTGACAGATGAGAACAGTGAGACTCTGAGGATTAAATAAGTGTCCAACCAGTGAGTGGCAGAAAGCCAGTTCAAAGTCAAGGCTATTTGATACCAAAGCCTGTACTTCTAACTATAGAGAGGGGACAAGTGAAAAATACAGTGATACTCATAATTTATTATTTTTCTGTCAGACCATTCTAAGACTTCACTAAAGCCACTTGGCATTTAACAGAACAAAGACTATCCATGCCAGTAGAGACTATTAAAGGGCATCAGGTACAGCCCCATAATTTTATAGTGGGACTCAGGCCCAGGAAGAATTGTCTGGAGAGGCTCAGGTTTAGTCAGTCTGCCTAGATCCTAAGTATCAGGGCATAGCTCTTTACTGTTAATGAAATATTCCCTAAATTAGTTGAAGGTTCTGCTCTGTGTCATCTGCACATGGACTTTTCCTAACTATATATATGAACTAGCCCATCATTCTTTGTCTTCTTATCTTGCTTTATTTTTCTTCATAAAGGAATCACATTATGTATTTATTCATTTACTTGTTTATTTTCCCCACTAGAATATAAGCCTCATGAGGACAAGATTTTTAATGATGTTTCTCTGGAGCCCATAGCAGTGCTTGACATATAAGATACTTGATAAATACTGGCCGAATTGATGACCAAACAATCCAAAGCATCAAATGCATGTGATTTTTAATGCACTGAAGTTCTTTGTACTTCAAAGCATAAGGCTTTATTTTTGCCTTTATTTTCTCATACTTCTGGCCTAATGTTTACCACATTTTAAAACTTTGGTAAACATCCATCTCCTCTCCTCATTTTTCAGTCCCCTCCCCCTTAGTCATCCATGCATCCCAAAGCTTATCAAAGGACCTGTCATGAGCAGCTGCTCAAAAATGCTTGGAGAGGCTGGTGTGGGGAGTGTAAGAGTGATAGTCGCAGGCACTGGTTGCTTAGTGATTTATTCTCTTAAGGTTCCATCAGCAGGTGGAATGGAAGACCCCTCCCACCCTGACACCTTGAGCAACCAAGGCATTATACTCCTTCACTGCTTGCTCTGTCTGGAGGACCCGCACATCAATGCCTTGTTTCTCAAGGTATTCCAGAGTTGATGGGGGCACCTGGGAAGGAGGAAAAAGATGAGTAAGTCAGGAGGAAAGGCCCCCGCCCCAGGGCTTCTTTTCTGCCCTGAGGCAAGTATACTGTACAGAACTAGATAGAGACAACTCACTCATAAGTCACTTGGAGTGTCACTGGTCAAAAATTTAGCAGTGAACCCCAAGGAGTCAAAAAGGCTTCTAAGAAGTTGACAGAAGTATGATCGTATGCTTGTGTATAATTCAGGTGAAATGCAAAAACCATGGATTTTGGAGTCAGCTTTGGATTTTAGTCCTTGCTAGTGGTATGACCTTGGGTGAATTAAATTCTCTGAGCCCTTGTTTCCATGTCTGGAAATGGGGATAATAAGACCTAGCTCACGGGGTTGGTATGAGAACCAGTTTAGCTAAGGTATGTAAAATGACTACTATGGTGCAGAGCCCAAACTACGTAAATTTTAAATGTTTGAGTCAGTCTACCCATCCTGAGTCTAAATTTTAACTTTGCTATGTACCAACCAAGAGACAGGCCTGCTATCTGAAGTCTCAACCCCAATTTCCTCTCCTGTAAAATGGGTTTAATAATATTTGTATCACAGGGTTGGTGTGAGGATGAAATTAACTAATGTATGTGTATACTGCAGCTCAGATGTCTTCTCAGAAAGGCCTCTCCTGACCACCCCATTCAGAAAAGCCTCTTATGAGTCACTATTTTCTTCATGGCATTTATTATGATCTGAAACTATCTACTTTTTAATTATTCAAGAGGGTAGATTGTTTATTCTATCTTGCTGTTCCCCATACCTAGAATAGTGTCTAACCCATAGAAAGTGTTGAATAAATATTTGTAAATTAATTTATATGAAAGATTCTCAGTAGTGGCAGCTATTATTAGATATTCTCAACTTTGGCTTGTCCTGAATATTTTTTTAAAGACATTTTGTTTAGACTTTCGGAAAATTTCTGAAATATTTTTTTAAATGCCCTATATTACTTTTCTATATCAAACATAATTGAAAAATTTTATAATAGCAGTTTTACAGATAGGGATTATTAATTAAGTTAAACTAAAATATATAAATAAAGGGCACCTTCATCAGTAAGGAACTGGATTTTAGGACATCTATATAAAGAATGAGGTAGATCTCTATATACTTATATGAAAGGCTGCCTGCCCATAATGTAATAATGTAAGTGAATACAGAGTTACAAAATATGATATGTATAGTATAATCCTATTAATGTAAAAATGGTCATAAGTGTATTCATGTGTATCTGTATGTGTAAGTGTATATATTTGCAGATGCATAGAAAATTGGATCAGTACACCTAAGTGTGGAGACTGGGGAGGGGAAATCTTTCACCGTTTTCTTCTACATTTCTGACTGACTCTTTTACAGTAAGCATGTATTATTTCTGTAAGTAAATTTTTTTTTTCCAGAAAAGGGAAAAACATAACTTGAATGCATCCAAGGAAATAAAAAGTACTATAAAAATCTGAAGAACCAAATGTATCTCGATAGTTGGAGAGCCTGAGAAATTCCAAGATTGAGGAATTTCTGAGAAATAGTTGCAACAATACAAGTCCATGGTTAGGTAGAGACTAGAGACTCCAACCCTGATGAGGACAGTAGTATGAAGTGATTATTTTATCCTGGGCCATCCAGTAGCTCATCAACAAAATGAGAGTGCATGATCTATAGAGAGGAACTCTCAAGAAAGACTTCTCTCTAATGTAAAGATCCAAAAGATCAGCAACTATCCTCATGAATGCTATGCTCACCCATACCTACCTTCAAGGCCTCACTCATCCCTCGGCCAATCACAAGAGTCTGCACACCCTTCTTGACAACTTCCTCCACATCTGCAGGCTGCACACCAGGAGAATGCTGGGTGTGGAAAGAAAAAGTATACCAGCCACCTGCTCTTTTAATCTTCCTTTGCAGTTGCATTCTTGTGGGATTCATTCATTCACCCATTCATACAACTGAAGAAATGTTTATTGAGGTTTACTCTGTGCCAAGCTTTGTTCTGGGCCCTGAGAATAACAGAAGTTACAATGCTGCCCTTAAGGAGCTCTAAGTCTAGTGAAAGAAGACTAAAATGAAATTTAAGTAGTTTTACAAGTACGACAAGGAAACAAGTTCAGTGTGTTTTAGAACATAGAGAAAGAGCACCAAATTCAGACCTGGAGTATGTGGAAGAGAGACTTCCATGACATGACCACTGTCTGTCCCATAAGCTGGATCCAGGCCAGAATGGAGGTTGCTTTCTGCAGCCCCCCCTTAGAAATTGTCTGATTATGTTCATTATGACATAAATCAGCAGCCCTCCCTTGCTATGTGCTGGTTCCTGGGACAGGTGGTTGTTCTGACCTGGTCAAGCATGTAAAGTAATTTCCTGTATCTGGTAGCATTCACTTACTAGTCCGCATAACTACTCCCCCCTCCCCGCCCCCATTTATCCTATATAATTCTCTGACGCCTGCCAAGTGGTACGTGATCCATTTTGTCTTGCAGCTGCCCACAACATGCCTCGTATGTACGTTTCCCTTTATAAACTCTATTAATGACCAGACTGGAGTGACCAGCCTCTTTCTTAAGTCTCTCTCTGCCTTATGCTTATGGAGGTAGATTATCAATCTCAGGGCTTTTTCCCTAGGACTGCACGTATAAAAGGAGGGTCAGAGTAGGCAGTCAGGGAAGGCATCCCACAGGAGGGGACATTTAAGCTGAGACCTAAAGGACAAACAGGAATTAGCCAAGTTAAAGAAAATCAGGGGAAAAGGCATTCCAAGTACAGGGAATTGCAGGTACAGAGGCTCAGAGGAAAGAGAAACCTAGTGAACTACAGGTAGTTCAGTATGACTGGAGTAAAATTGACAGGTGAGGGAGTAGAAAGAGATGAGGTAGGAGAATAAAGCACTTGGACCACATGCCAAAATTGGGTGAGACTGTGGAAAGATTTCATAAGAGCCCCCCACACTATTTCCTTTTTCTGAGCCCCTTTCTCACTCGCTCCAGGAAAAATTCTATTGATGCTTTAAAACCTACCTATCAAAGCTTTCCTAGATTCTTCTAGGGATATTTAAGGTAAAGTATTTAATGAACATTAATACAGCATTAAAGGATGGTGACTTCCGAACTGCTTCCACTTCAGCAAAGGGGATATGGGAGTTAGAGTTTGTGAATACCAGCCCAGCTACTAGGCTTTACCTATTATGTGTCTGCACAAGGATGACACTCTCAGTCAGCACTGAAGCTCAGAGAGACAAAGCTTTTCTTCCCTGATTTGTCTATCTCTATTCCTTCCTTCAGCCAACAAGCATTTACTGAGCACTTACTCTGCACTGCACCCTATGCTAAGCACTGGAGATACTGAGATGAACCAAATAGTCCTTGGAGAAGTTTTAGTCAGGTAAGCTTAGTAAATATATGGAAATAGTCACAAAAAGATGAGATAAAATAAGAGTCGAGGATCTCAGAAGTGATATAAATGGGAAGTTGTCAGGGAAAACATGCTTTTCTAACTGGCTCTTGAAATATTAGAAATACTAGAATAAGTAGGCCTTGATGCAGTGGTTGTGGAAGGGGTACCCTAATCTTATACTTAAAAGGTATAGGGTTTTTTGAAAAATAGCACAGATGACTTCACTGGCAAATTCTCTTCTAAACATTTAATGAAAATCCTCAACAAAACAGCAAATTCAAGGTTGGTTCAACATTAAAAATTCAATGTAGTTCACTACAGAGTAAAGATGAAAAAGCATGTAATGATCTCAGCTGATAAAGAAAAAGCATTTAACAAACTAAATGTATTTATGATTTTAAAAAAGTTCTCAGCAAACTAAACTAGAAGGGAAACTTCCTTAGATGAAGGACATCTAAGAAAAACCAATATTTGTACATCAAATATAATGTTGAAACATTAAACATTTCTCTCAGGGACTGGACATAATGGTACCAACCAGACATTTACTTCTTAGTTATCTCTTGGACATGTCCATTTCTCTCTTATCTCCACTGACATTACCCTGGTTTAAGCCGCTATCACTTCTTTGGACTATTGCAGTAACTTTCCAACTGGTCTCGTAAAACCAATTTAGCCTTTTCCAATATTCGTTCTTCAACTGTAACCAAAGGGATCTTTTAAAAACACAAATCCGGTCATGTCACTCCTCTGCTTAACAGCATTCAATGGCTTCTTATTGCCTTAGAACAAATGCCACACTCTTTAACATAATCTATAAATTCCCGTTGCCTCTCCAATCTCATTGCCTATCACTTTCCTCATGTTCCTTACTCTGGTAACATAGGCTTTCTATCAGTTCTTCAACCATAGCATGTTCTCTCTCACCACTGTGAAGAAGATAAAAAGAAAATCTACAGATTGTGAGACAATATTTGCACATCACACATCTGACAAAGGACTTGTGTCCAGAATATATAAAGAACTCTCAAAACACAACAATAAGAAAACAATATGATTTTTAAGAATGTGTTAAGTATTTAAATACTTTCCCAAAGAAGATATATGGATGGCCATGAAAAACATGAAAAGACACTCAATATCATAACTATGGACACACGTGTATATTAAAATTACAATGAGATACCAGATGCTGATGAGGATACAGACAAATTGGATCTCTCATTTTAGGTAGCTAGTAGAAATGTAAATGTAGCAGGAAAGTTGGCATTTTCTCATAACATTGAACATATGCGACTCAACAATCACACTCTTGGGTATGTATCCTAGAGAAATGAAAACTCATATTCATACAAGGACCTGTACATGAATGTTCACAGCAGCTTTATTTGTCATAGTCTCAAACTGAAAATAACCCAAATGTTCAACTGGTGAACAGATAAACAGACTATATTATAATCCAAACAATGGAATACTACTCAGCAATAAAAAAGAACAAATTATTGATACAACAACATGGATGAATCTTATGTATGATGCTAAGTGAAAAAAGCAAGTTTCAAAAGACTACATACTATATGATCCATTAATATGACAAGTAAATGTGATACATGTATTAGGTCAATTGGCAAAATATTAATAAGATCTGTATTTTAGGTAATTGTATCAATGTTAATTTCTTGATTGTGATCATTGTATTGTGATTATGTAAGAGAATACTCTTGTTTGGGGAAAATACAGGTATTTAGGAGTAAAGGGGTATAATATCTGCAATAGTTCAGAAAAAAATATCAGTGGAGAGGAGGATAAAGAAACTATGATAAAGTGTTAACATTTGGACCTGGGTAAAAATGAGAATTCTTTGTACTATTCTTGTAATTTTCTGTAAGTCTGAAATTATTACAAAATAAACAGGAAATTTAAAAGTAAATAAAATAAAAAATAAAAAAGCAGGAAGAGATCAAATACAGTCACACACTTCCTGATTGATTTAGCCAAGTAAACAAAACTTAACAGAAGCTAGGTGGCTACACAAAGCAGGAACAGATGCAGTATATCTTTGCTGGCTTTCTCTATGTCTCTTGATTCCCTGTGGGGTGTGCCACTGCTGCTGACATTCTTCACTTAGTGAGTGCTCTAGAGCCAACAAAGCCAGTCTCTCTCACTAGTACTCTTATAGTCAGACTTATCTCATTAGCACCTTCCTAAGGAACTTACACTAAGAATGTAGGAGCTTATGTTTTAGAGAATATCAGAGTGTTCTAATATTCATGTCAAAGAATGAACCAAAGTGATCAGCAGCAAGGGTACATCCTCATCCTGGGAGAAGATGCAGAGCTATGGCCCAGAAGTTTCTAAACAGTATCTCTGCCCTCAGCTTTGCCCATTCTCCACAAAGATCAGAAGAAATTGGGAGAGATTAGATTCTTTTTCTATAAAGTTATTTAGGTTCATAAATTTTTTCAAAGCAAAACAAAAGGGATATTTTTTCACTTGATTACAATAATCGGTTCTTAAAGAATGTAAGATGATTGGATTAGGCTCCATTTTTAGTTCCACAGCTCTGTGATCAATTCTAGATCCACTCTGAGCTGAACAGTGCTGATATGAAGAACCTAAAATTTTTTTCTGGGGCTATGACCAAGGTAAATATTTAAGAGTTACAAATCAGGGATAGAGAGCTTCACCTTCCTAATTAAATGCATTTACCTGAATTGCTGAATGATTCCTTAATTTAACAAAGAATGGCAACTATTGTGAGGATCTCTAGACTCTTAAGAGCTCACATTCTAGTATAAGGAAATAAGACCAGAGCTCGAAAACAAGTGAAAGGTCCTAAGAGAGTGCAAAATCATAATCACCTGGAGATTCAGAGATTGGACACAGCAGCAGCCCATCAGGGTTGCCAATCAACAGAACTCAAGTGACGAATCTGGCTGCTGCATGCCATACTGCAGGCCCAGGGTGTCACAATACAGAGCAATGAAAGATAACTGCAATAGCCTGTGGATGCAGGCATTTGGTGGGTGATTATTCACAGCTTTGTGCAGAGGCCTGTTATTGAGGCATCCTCAACCTGCCACAGCTCCTCCTCTGCTTCTTCCAGTCCCTGGAAGCACACCAGTAAGGCTCTCTTCCCTACTGTCCAATTCTGTTCCTCTTCTTTAAGAGGCTTTACATTACATGATTTTGTAAAAGCTTATTGTTTTTTCTTGGGGGAAAGCTATTGTGGGAAAATGTTCAGCTAATCCCCACGATGCTGGTTAAATAACAGTGGCATACTATATGGCTTGGACATTTCCCCCTTTTTTATGTCAAATTTGAAAAGGAAACATTCCTAAATTACACTTTCAAGGAAGCACTTCCTTCTGCCAAAATGAAGTGAGGATAAGTGGTTAGTAGCAATGCTGTTATCTTGTTGTTGCTGATAAAAGTATATTCTGTGAATGAAGGTTAAAGG